CCCCAAAACCCCAAAACCCCAAAACCCCAAAACCCCATGAGAATAAATAGTCTCTCATCTAGGGGGTTGGATTGATATTGATTCCTGAGTTTCTAATTAATGAATAAGATTTTTGCTTAATTCTTAAGAATCTTTTGATATCATCATTCCACTTTATGCATTTAATGAGTTTTTCAATTCTACCTCTTTAACAGTCAGAGACACAACAAGGGTAGTCTATATGCTGCTATTAATCACTCCTTCTCGTTAATAGTTCTGACAATGTAGTCAACTTCATTAGAACTTCCAGCAATGAATGAGATTCTCTACTTATAACCTTTGATTTCGACGTCAAGAACACTGCGTACTCCGTCACTGGTTTTACCTCCAGCTTTTTCGATCAAAAAGGCTAAGGGAATAATCTCGTATATCAAATGCAGACGGGAGGGGTGAGCCACTGAGTCCAACATCGAGTATACACCTTAGCGCTTAATGAAAATCTAATAGCAATCCACAGCGAAAGCACCTGAGTATCTGATAGAGTAACCTTTTAGGCAATAATTTTCAAAGATTTTGAGATAGTTGGGATTATCATAAGAAGATCTCAGAGCTGGTGCAAAGAGTTTGGCATCAGGCTCGATTTTCATGTCTGGGGTGGTGACTATCCATCTTTCGTTCTTTCCCATCATTAGGAGAGTGAGTTCCTCTACTTTCTTGTTTTGAGCATTGTAGAGAATGATAGTAGTTCTTGATCCGTAAACTGAGAGGGCAGCACCTACTAGATCTCTACCAGTCATGCCATTAATGTCCTTAGATTTCCAGATAGCAAAGACTGAGGCTACTGAGAAGTTTGAGTCAATAACAGAGCTTCCATCAATTGGATCAAAGGTTACCATGTATTCACCATCAGGATTCATCTCATTCAACTTTACAAAAATGAGGGTAAGAAATCATCTTATGAATTGAAAAAGTTAGAAAATCATGACCATTAAAAGACTCATGTGGGGTAAGAAAGATAAAGCAATGTTACTTACATAAGGTTTTTCCTCAGAAGCAGCAGAGTGGACTACTCCACTCTTTTTCAAATGACTGAATATTATCTCATCAGCTTTTAGATCAAGATCAGACTATTGTTTCCCGAACTAATTCTATTGAGAGAGAGTTTGAGCTAAAGGTAAGTAAGAAATTCTGATTAATTATGTTTATAATACCTGAGTGGTATCTTAGATAAGTAGCGATTTCTTGAGTTGCATCAAGGATGGCTTTGTAAACCTTGATAAAGTCTGCATGGGCATAGATTCCTTCCATTTGTTATCTGTTTGTGATATTGAATATCTATTATCAAATCTTAATATCTTATTTTAATATACCTTATTATGACTCTTTAAACTAATGAATTACGTCCTATGGGGTTTTGGGGTTTTGGGGTTTTGGGG